GGCCTCGAGCAGGGGCGGGGCGGGGCGGGGAGGGGCGAAGCGGCAGCGGCCGTTGGGAGCGGGCGGGGGGCCGTGTGGTCCCGCCCCCGCCGTGTTGTCTCGGCCGCCGGGGCCGGGGGCTCTCGCGATAGTAGCCTTGGCGCCGTGACCTCCATGTGAGAGCGGCGGCGCCTGGTAAACACTCCCCGCGGCTCGGCCATGGCTGCCGGTGGCGTCCGTTAGAGCCGGCCGTGCCGCCGTTTCCCCCCCGCTCGCCGGGCGCTGCTGTGGGGCGACAGCTCCGTTCCTGCTCCTGCTGCGCGAGGCGGGCGGCCCGGCGGGCGGGGGGCTCGGCCGCTCCGCGGGATCTTCAGCCCCGGTTGAGCGAGACAAAGGCGCGGGGGACGCGCCCGCCCCCGGGGAGCGGGCGGGAGCCGCCCCGCTTCCCCCTCCGCGCCATGTGGATCCAGGTGCGCACCATCGACGGCACGGAGACGCAGACCATCGACGACCTTAGTCGTCTCACCAAGATTGAGAGCCTGCGCCAGAAGATCCAGGAGACCTTCCGCGTCAGCCCCGACCGCCAGCGCCTCTTCTACCGGGGCAAGCAGGTGAGGGGCGGGGGGTCCACCGCCTTTGTCCGCCCAGCCCTGCCTTTTGTCACCCCCGGGCGGGGCCCGCCTTTGTGCTTCCCCCTGGGCCGGGGAGCGAAGGCCACCCGTCCCCACCCACCCCCTGGGGCACCCACACGTGGGGCCGGCGAGGGGTCTCCCCCTGCCCCGCCTGTAACGGTTTCCCGGTGGGGGAGCGCTCCTGTGGCCCCGCGGGAGGGCACGTGAGCAGGCGCTGTGCCCTCCCCCTCTTCCTCCTCGCAGGCACTAGGCAGGCGGGATCCCAGCCCCCTCTCCCCCTTCAGGGGCTCTGCTGGCAGCGGCCTGCACTGCCCTTGCAAGGCCACGGCACCTATCACCAACCCCTGGCACCAGCCACAGTTTCATCCAACCTGGGCGTCCGGGGAGAGTGGCACCTTAGGCTAACTGGCCACTGTTGGGCACCCTTGCATCCAGGCAGGACCCAGCCTTGCCCTTGGGAAGTGCTGAAAGGCAGAAAGACAACTCTGTGCCAACCTAGCGTGGCCTCAAGGGAAGTGGGAGAGAAGTGGAGCTGGGGCGTAACCTTCTTCAGAAGAAAAGGCCCTGGGGGTTGGCATGAGGAGGGTGTGTGGCTTGCTCAGTCTACCTTGTGTGTTTCGGGTAGCCGTAGGGGAACCGTTACCAAACACAGGAGTGGCCGGTCAGTTCCAACCAGCGTGAGTGGACTTTGTATTTAAGATGAAACCTGTTAAGATTTTTTTGCCATCTATCGGGCTAGGAATGTGTTTCTGTGAATAATAGCAACAGTCACAGGGAGCAAGAGGTTACTGTTTTCTGTGGTTAATGTGGGATAAGAGGTTTTGATTTTAGTTGAGAGTTTAAGGTAAGCTGGTGAGAAAATAATGGAAATATAACTTTATATGGTACAGATGCAGTGGTGTGATAGTTTTTCCTTGGATTAAATTATACAAATTGTTAGACCTTAAACTGGAGGAGAGCTTCATGTAGCAGGAAACGAGTAGTCTTTAGCATCAAGTTGACTTGCCTTCTAGTCATGTCGCTGTCTCTACTTATACCCACTTTCTGCAGGGAAGATGGAAGCCTTGCTTATGAGGTTGCACTTTCCCATGGATACGGGCGGCTCTTTGGGAGGGGGAAAATGGCTGGAGCAGAAAGTCATTACTTTTTGTTTCCTTTTCCGTGACTAGGCTGTCCTCCTTCTCAGTTACTCTTCTCCTACTTCTGCTATGCTGTATCTATTCAGACAAAATGTAAGTATCTGCTGCTGTAGATCCACTGAGTTACTTACTTGACTTCATCTATACTACCTAATGGCAACGCTTAGCCTATGAAGAGTTCTGGTCCCACCCACAAAGGTCTGATCTAGCACAGGGGATTGGTGGCGCAGTTGTGCTATACTGCCCACCACCTCTGTTGCAGAGCCTGCAGTTTCAAGGTATCTGCGCTTGCCCACACTGCAGAGGGTTCGGGGATTGGTGGTGAGGGTAAGCATAGGCATCTGGCTACTCTAGGCTGGAGACGTTCAGCCTGCGGCCAGGTTGTGAAGGGTGGTCAGTGCTGGCGAAAAGTTGCGGATCCATGGAGTAGAGGATAAATGGAGTCTGAACTCTGATTTCCACTGTTGCTGCACTGAATTTTAACTGTTTAAATCTTCAACTGCTGTTGTAGTTGAAGAGTTAACCCCCCCTCAACAATTAACTACACTTAGTTAATTGAGGCATCTCTTTAATATGGAGAAATCCTAAAGTAAGCTAGAGCCCTGTAAAGTTGAACTTGAGGCATTGTCTACGCCAGGGTTGTCAAACTTACAGCCTGTGGAGGTGGATCACCTGGCCCACAGGCTCTTTGTGGCTTCCAGGAGCCAGCTGCTTAACCCTGTCACTGTGGCTGCTGGAGCTGGAGTTTCAGCATGGCCAGCACTTATGGGTGAATGCTGCTGCTGACTAAAATAAGCCGCCTTCACCCTATGGCTGCTGGCTGTATTGACACTGGCTCTAGCAGCCTTGGTGCCTGGGGATTGAACAGCAGTAGTGTTAACTCTGTGGCTGCTGGTGCTGACACAGGAATGAGAGCATCTGTGAGGAACCTTGCAGTTGGGATTTGGCCTGTGAGGAACTTTGTAGCTCTTATACAGCCCACAGGACCAAATGAGTTTGACTCCCCTGGTTTATACTATAGAAATGACTTCAGGATAAGAAGGGATGTATTTGGTCTAGGATTATAAAAGGTATCATCTCTGATCCAAGAGTTCTAGATTTTTGCATTTCTTCAGGATAAGTAGTGATACCTGAAATGGTTTGGATACTGGTAGCAACTGAACTGTGTGAGTGCTGAATTCATGTGGGCTGCAGGATTTACCTAAGATGCAGACTGAATTAGCTTACACTAAACCACTCATTCTCAACCAGGGTGGCCTGGCACCTTGGGGTACTATGAAATTTCTCTGCTTGACTGCTCACCACTCCCCAAGGGCTGCAGGATACCATGCAGTATTACACTTTGTAGATGTGCAGACATCTGTGCATGATTCGTAAGATAAACCCAGAGATTTCAAATAGGAAACTGGTGTAAAAAATATTCTGACCTATTGTGGTTTAAGTTCTTTGCAACCAAAGAATTGCCAAGGGGGAAGGGAAAGGGAGTAGCAGGCAGGCAGGGATTTGTTTGACCTTAGTCAAGCTATCTCCTCTGCACCTTGTGTCAGCCTTCAAAGGATCTTTTAGGCTCCTGATTGAGAATTGCTGCTTTACTACTTCTCTTCCAACTCAGTGGGTTAAGTCTGAACTCTTCTAGCCTGCCAGTGTGCAATTTTCTGTAGTCTTGCTTTTCAAACAAGTTAGGAAACTGTTGCTATGCTGTTCAACAGAACTGTTGTATTATGTAAGCATACCTAGTAATTTTATTTGAATGTGTAAATATTCTCATAATTTAAAAGACACTTCCTTGCTCTCTCCCTCAGACTTCTAAACCTTTGAAGTTTAGTCTCGGTTTGATGCTTCTTAAATCTAGAAGTCTTACTAGAGTAGTGTGAAGGAAGTGCGTTACCTTTACAGTTTGTATGGCGTTTCCTTGATGGTAGGTATGGATTGCTGGCGGTCTACTGCATTATGTGGCATTTCTGGCTGGAAACAAGTATAGACAGATTGCAGAAATGCAACTAAAACTATTAGGTTTCCTAAACAAAATAGTTTATTTTTATTGTAAATTAACAAAGGAGAACTGAACAGTGTTTTTTTGACTTGCTGCTTGTTTTATCTTGTATATTGTGAAGTCTGGAATTCCTATAGCTGATTTTTTTTTTTTTTTTTTTAGGG